TTTCAGACTAACTAATGCTCCTACAACCTTCATGGACTTGATGAATTGGATATTCAAAGACTTCCTCAACACATTCGTAATTGTCTTTATAGATGACATTCTTGTCTACTAAGATCGAGGAAGAGCATGAGTCCCATCTCAAAATGGTATTGACAAAATTGCGAACTCATCAATTATACTCCAAGTTTTTTAAGTGTGAGTTTTAACTCTTAGAGGTAACCTTCCTTTGACATGTCGAAGGAAGGAATATCCATAGACCCAACTAAAGTAGAAACAATATTGAAATTGCCCCGACGGAAAATGGTCACAAAAGTCAGAAGTTTTCTAGGGTTGGCAGAATATTACAAGAGAGCTATAGACTTCTCCAAAATATCAGAACTTTTAACACAACACGCCAAGAATGGTAAGACATTTACCTAGACATCGGCATGCAAAAAGAGCTTCACAAAACTCTTGGATAAGTTGGTATCAGCTCCGGTCCTTGCACTGCCAGACAACTCGGAAAACTTTGTTATATACACTTATGCTTCAGGGAGAGGCTTGGGATGAGTGTTAATGCAAAATGGATGAGTGATAGCGTATGCCTCTCACCAACTAAAGGACTACGAACACAATTATCCCACACACGACTTGATAGTAGCAGCCATAGTGTTTGCCCTCAAAATGTGGCGGCACTATGTTTATGGAGAAAAGATACAAGTGTATAGGAACCACAAGAGCCTGAAGTACTTGTTAACACAAAAGAAGCTCAACCTGAGACAAAGGAGGTGGTTAGAACTTGTGAATGACTATGATATAGAGATCTTATACCACCTAGGAAAGGCCAAAGTCGTAGTTGATGCCTTAAGTCGAAAAACGACCCACTCCTCACCACTAATCACAGGACAAAGGAAACTCCAGGAGGAGATGATTGGAGTCGGTATCAAAGTCTAGTCGAAGAATTAACCACAAGATTTTCTCAGCTAACAGTCCAACCCACATTAAGAAGGCATATAATCAATACTCAAGAAAAGGACCATTACCTCAGCAAAATCTTGCAACAACGAGACGTTGATCGCCCAAAAGGATTCTCCATGTCTAGTGATAAGGGTCTCTTGTGGAGGGGCAGTTATGCGTACCTAAAGATGAAGGACCAATAAAGGAATTACCTATAGAAGCTCGCGACTCACCATTTTCCATCCACCCTGGAAGCACCAAAATGTACCAAGGCTTAAGAACCTGTTATTGGTGATGAGGAATGAAACGAGACATAGCAGAGTACGTAACCCAATACTTGACCTGCCAACAAATCAAGGCACCAAAACAACCGCCGCCAGGGCCCCTACAACCCCGAAGTGTTCCTCAATGGAAGTGGGAGGACATCACCATAGATTTCATCGTAGGATTACCGAAGACCAAGAAGGGTTTCACTGTTATATGGGACACTGTTGATTAATTAACCAAGTCCCCTCATTTCATTCCAGGGAAGACTACCTACACAGTGGATAAGTGGGCCCAACTCTATATGTAGTAAATAGTGCAATTACACAGTATTCTAATGTCAATAGTGTCCGATCGAGATGCTGGTTTACATCTCGCTTCTAGAAGAGTCCTCAGAAGGCACGGGGTACGCAACTAAAATACAGTATAACCTTCCACCCACAAACATATGATAAGACAAAAAGACTTAACCAAATATTGGAAGACATTCTAAGGGCATGTGTAATGTACTTAGCAGGAAGTTGGGATGAGTATCTACACCTCATGGAATTTGTTTATAACAATAGTTACCAAGCCACCATACAAATAACCCCATACGAGACACTTTATGGATGAAGATGTCGATCTCCCATCTTTTGGGAAGAAGTGGGGAAACGAAAACTATTGGAGCCAGAGCTGGTACAAATCACTAACATTGTTGTCCAAAAGATCAAAGCTAGAATACGATACGCACAAAGCCAACAAAAAAGTTACAAAGACTTACGACGCAAGACATTGGAGTTCGAAGTGGGAGACCATGTATTCCTAAAGGTGGCTCCAATGAGAGAGGTGCTCAAGTTTGAGAAAAAAGGAAACTGAGTCCAAGATTTATCAAACCTTTCGAAATACTAGAAGGATTGGACCAGTAGCCTATAGACTTGTGCTACCCCCAAACTTGTCTGTGGTACATAACATATTTCACGTAACCATGCTACGGAAGTACATCCCAGATCATTTGCACGTGTTGGCTCATGACATGCTTTCCCTAAGAGAGGAACTAACATATAAGGAAGACCAAGTACAAATACTAAATAGGGAGGTAAAAAGGTTGAGGAACAACGAGATAGCTTTTGTTAAGGTCCTATGAGACGACCATAAAGTAGAGGAAGTCACTTGGAAAAGAGAGGAAGAGATGAAAATGTTGTACTGGACTTGTTTCACGACTAGCACAATGGAGGACGAAAGTTTTTAAAAGCACGGAGAATTTATTGTTAGATAAAAAGTTGTGATTCTTAGGAATACATGTATGATGTAAGATAGTGTTTTTAGCTCTACATTTGGGCAACTTAAAACAGACAAATTAAATGAGAAACATTTGCATGTGTTTTTACACCAACAAATCCCAAAGATTCCGTACTCTTCCTTTATTTTCTTCTCTCAACAATTTCTTCAGCAATTTTTTTTCGTCAAAGATTTCCTCACCAGCCGAATTGCTCAGTCAAGGATAACATTTACAACACGTGAGAGCTTAAACGCTTCCAAAAAGGGTAGTTTATAGTTCTTATTAGTTGGTATGAGGTTTGGAAAACAAAGAAATAAAAAAAATTGGAAAAGAAAATGAAAAAATGGAATTTTCTAATTTTTATCAAACTTATCTGATTTTTAACATTTTCTTGACTGAGATTTTTAAGACGGTGAAGAAGGGAAAACGGTCAAGGAAGGGTTGTAGAAATTTTGAGAAAATTCTGGATTTTTGAAGAAAATAATATTTAAATAATTTAAAAAAATGATAATTTACCAAAATACCCTTGAAAGAATGTATAATTACGAAAATGCCACTATGACCATAATTAGATTATCTATTGTGATCATCTACACAAAATAGTTGAATACTCAAATGAGTTGGATTTCGTGTAAAATTGAATATGATCTAGAACACTTACAACTCATCAAATCCAACTATTAGAATTCAAAACTAAGGTCAATAAGACCATGGTCGAAACAAATAATTCTGGTGAATGATCCATAAAACTCGAGAATTAAATTGTGGCGATTCTGGACGTTTCAATGACTGTGGATCATTGATCTATAAATTATTGAGCAAAGACAATTAAAAGGAACAGGAAACAAGTTCCATCGAGACCTCAATCGAGAGTACGAGCGTTTAGATTTTGAGTATCTTATTCTCGGATTAACCTCAAATTTAGAAACTACCGTCCATCTTTCATTTTCAAACTTGTTCCTGCATGTTCTAAGGAAGATTACCCATAAGTTTTGTGAAGGAAGGAAGCTTCAAAAATGCCCCTATCTTATTCCCACTATTGAAGGAATCTCAAACGAGTGCTCGAAATCCAATCTGAGGCTATAAACATTTTCACCAGACGAGACCTATCCCAATCAATTTCTGCATACTTAAGGATAATTTTCAAAGAAGACCGCAAAGGGAGATGACCTCAGGAACGTGTATAATCGAAGAAATTCGATATCGGGTAAAATTTGGGGAAGAAACTCAAATTCTTGCTTAGTTGTCCAATAAAGGGAAAAAACACGTTCTAAGTTGAGTTGCAGACGAGAAAAGAAACTCAAAATTCACCTCAACCACGCCCGGACATCTTCTCAGGATCATCCCTCTAGTTTAAGTAAAGTATAAGGAAGACTTCGGGTGAAGGAGGTGTGGCCTACTAGCGTTTGGATCGTTGTAACCAATAACAATATCTCTTGGGTTTGCTCCGATGACAGAACAAGATTTCCCCCTACTTTGGACTCCTATAACTTGCCATTTAAATGACAAGCAGGTGAGATACCCCTCCCAAAACTCTTTCTTGACAATTTATCTTTTAAGTTATGTAATGTCTTCTTCACGTACGAGAGGAAGGTTAAGTTGGGTGTTTGCTTTTGTTGATATCACTGTTGTTTAAATGAATTTAGTTTACGTCCCTAGCATCATTTATGAAATGTTTTAAAAGGAAAATACTTACCCTATATTTCTAATTATCCATACACACACCGTTGTCCATGGTTTGTCCTTAACTAAACCGCTTAAATGATGAGCTCAAAGCCTATGTATATACTAGAGTGGATACTAAAAGACCTCTTTCTCTTTTGTATACCATGGGAACACCTTCACAAACCAAATGGGTAATCACCATGGATACAAACAAAGATCTAGTCGTTTGAGAATCATAGAAACTTTTGAGCAACAAGAAATACTAAATTATATACTAAAACCAAACAATCCGTACCAATTGAATTTGGTTGGTTTTTTTTTTTTTTTTTTTTTTTTTTTTCTTAATCCCAAGTGTTATAATATTGTAAAAAAGAAATTATTGGAGTGGTTATGTACACGTAGTATTGTCAAAATTTGATTGAAGAAGAGTACTTGAATCATGCATTTGTAATAGAACCAAAATATTCTCTCCACAAAACTGTTTTCCCATTTACCCCGCGCCTGTCTCTTCACCAACATGAAATGAAAATCGCGCCCATCATAACATTCTAACCACCAAGATTCTGTCTCATTCAAATGTGGACTGTCCTTCCATACCTAACTTCTTCATCTTCATTCTAGAGACACCATCAACATGGCTTATGCTTCCTCTGGATCCGACGACTTACGCACCTTCGAAGAACAAGCCGATACAAGATCGATAACAAACCGACGCCGACCCACCGACGAATCCATTGAATACAAATCGAAAAACCTCCATGCAGAGAGACGACGGAGGCAGAAGCTAAGCGATAGGCTACTATTACTACGTGCCACTGTTCCAATCATCACAAATGCAACGTCCCACAACTCTCCTCATTAATTCAATTCATTTGTTACGCATCGTTTCATAACCATTTTGTTTTGTTGTCTCATAAATATAGATGAATAAAGCGACGATTATTGAGGATGCTATAACGTACATCAAGCAGCTGCAGAAGAGGGTTAATATTCTAAAAGACCAGCTTGTGGAATTGGAAGGCTCAGCGGAAAAAACTCCATGGCCAACAGTACCAACAGATAGTACAACCCCGACGCAATCGAATAAAAGTTATATTCAGGCAGACGTGAGCGTTTCTCAAATCGACGAACACAAACTATGGATTAAAATACTTTTTGAGAAGCGAAAAGGTGCATTCACTAAATTAATTCAAGCCATGAATTCTGTGGGGTTTGAGCTCACTGACACTAGTGTCACAACCGTACAAGGAGCTGTTCTTGTGACCACCCTTATCAATGTAAGTGCTTGCTTCCAACAACAATTCTTAAATTTTACAAATTTTTAAATCTTTGTGTTCTTAATTTATATGGTGGTTTGGGTGGAAGGACTAATTATGATTTGGATATTTCATTGAATAGGGAATTTTTTGTACGTCAACAGCGCAGCAAACTGAGGACTTGCTGCTGGGTATCGTTAATACATGCATTTGAGATATTGATACTCATTCAGCTAACTTTTAATATAATTTAGGATACACATATATTCAACACAATAGTTTAGCTTTTTTTTTTTTTCTTCATGGTTCTTAGCTTATTAAAACCCACTAATTATTTTCCATACAAGAATTGTCTTCTATTAAAAGCATTTTGGATTAATTTTTAATTGTCCTCTATTACTTGAATCACTGGTTTGTTGTTTGTTGTATGAATGATGTGTGTTTTGTGGCCTCTACACGTGAGAACCTTCTTTCCCAGGAAACTCTTCTTGGAATTTGATCTAAAAACTTTGTTAAAGAACGAGATCCCTAGGTCTAAATTATCCAAAAACCCCAAAACAATAAAAAAGAGTGTATGAAAATTCAACATGGTACGCGTGACACAAATTAATTTGTTAATTCCATGAGTGCCTTTCAATGCGTTTGAGCTTTGGGAGTATTGAAAGGTAAAAAACCTCGTCTCCTTAGCACGAACGAAAATGTCTGAAGCTAAGTTTGAGAACAACAAAGGTATGAAGGTTATGAGATGATTTGAAGTTATTTAGCTATAGTTTGGATAATGTATATGGTCCTATTCAAAATTTTATAGGCATTACTCGAGTATGAGACTTTGAAGATTTTCCTTAAATTTAGGAAACTATAATTTATGATCGAGTAGAATGGAGAATTCACAAGGACTGAAGTGTAGGAATTGTTCCCAAACCAACTAGACTTCATATCCATGATAATTGTCCTCATACTCCTACATGAATATGTTTCTGTGATTCATTTTTTCTTCCTAGCGTATCAATGCCACTCTACACCAGTATGACTAACCTCTAGTGATAAGACTTTTTAACTATGTCATAATGTTCTGAGGATCTTTCCTTACCTCCTCCCAATGTTATAAAGGGATTTGAAGTAAATAACCCTTTTTGGGATGATCATTCACTATTATTATAGAAAAAATATACAAATTGAAGTTGCATGGACAACGAGGCCAATGTTGGACACTTTAATAAGGTTTAGAGGATGTGACTTGAAGGTTAAAGTATACCAAAATTGATTAAACCATTGGTTTAGTAGGCAGAAGAAAGCAAGTCTATCTTTAAAAAAGTGAGAAAATTGGAATGAAGAACGAATTAAGTATTTGAGATTTTTTCAGCATTAATATCAAAATGTGAGGTTGATTTCAACTTATAGCCTAAGTCATGAACCCACCCGTGGATAAATGATTGAGTAGAATGGAGATAGAGCAAGCCACAAACACATGAGTTAATAAGCCAAGACTTCATACACCTTACGGTTTTTTTTTTGTGAGTGCATTAGCTCTGATCGTTAAGATGAAAGAATTTGTCTAGGTGGCGATATAATTAATATCGGAATATGATCAAGTAGGGATGAAGAACATGTATTCTTCCAGAAATAAAGGTTCCCTAGTCAAGAAGGGCAATGCTTTAGAGAATTTCTTCAAGTTCGACATGGTCGTTATGAATTTTTGTGATGTCGTTGACTCACTAGTGCCCCATATTATTCTCATGAACCAGATCTTCAAAAAGGTTTCTAAACTTGTGTTTATAGCTGTAATCATTACAGAGGCTTTAAAAAAAAAAAATTAATGAGACAACAAGATGTACCTTAAATAAGTTTTTACATTCTTATATAATATGCTTCATATCAAACGTTTTAAGTATGAACCTTGGATGAACAACGTTATTCTTTCCCAGCATCGAACTTTAAGGAATGTAGTCTAATGGGAACTTTGATAAAGTAAAAACCATGTGTAGTTGGCCTAGACCCGCATGGTGGCCAAAATTCGTAGAACTGGCACTTGCAGTAAAAACTCCAATAAGAGATTTTCAAAGTAAAAAAATTCGCTAATTACTGCCTAAATAGTAAGATGTTTGTGAGTATATGTAAAGGTTAGTAAATTGTAATAATATAAAGTAAGGTAAGTTGTAAGTAAGCTATAGAAGACTGGCTCTAGGGTACACCATCCCCATTCTGCTTTAAAAAAACCCACTTGATTGCCAAAACATCAATTAATTTAGAAAATTGAGGAATGAGAGCTCTCCATCCTTATTATAACCCACAATCGTAAGATGCAATATGATTGGGTCCTTAATAGAATGACACAAACTTTTTCGACCACTCCATTAGGTGGTGATGGATCCAAAAATTTAAGTTACTCAATATTAGAATATAGAAATTCAAGTAAATAGATCTCACAGGTTATTTCGAGATATTTTAGTAGTTTAAAAAGATAGAGATTCTCGCAATATGAGGTTCATCTTTTTCCAAGAAAATCTTCTTTTTAGAGTTCCAAGTTGATATTTTAGTGTGATCAAAGATTCTCGTTTGAAAAGTCTACTCTCCAAAACAAATACAAGGGACCCACTTATCTTGAAATTAATTTGTATGAATGATATATAAACCTAACCGAAATTCAAGTAGATTGATCTCACAGGTTATTTCGGGATATTTTAGTAGTTTAAAAAGATAGAGATTCTCGCAATATGAGGTTCATCTTTTTCCAAGAAAAACTTCTTTTTAGAGTTCCAAGTTGATACTTTAATGTCATCAAAGATTCTCGTTTGAAAAGTCTATTCGCCAAAACAAATACAAGGGGCCCACTTATCTTGAAATTAATTTGTATGAATGATATATAAACCTAACCTATATTAATATGTATCATCAATATATGATTGATATATAAACCTAATCTATTGATCATCGATCTATAATTGATATATAAACCTGTATTATGGATATATGATTGATATATAAACCTAACCTATATTAATATGTATCATCAATATATGATTGATATATAAACCTGTATTATCGATATATGATTGATATCTAAACCTAAACCATAGATACACCCCACGGAGGTTACAATTAACAAACCATTCTTCTATATTTACAAATATTTTTTTTTTATATTTTGTTTCCCATTAAAGCTTTTCTTATATAGAGAGAGATAAAAGGACATGTTTCCAAAGAATAAGTTGGAACAGTTCAATCTTCAAACTAGTAAAATTATTTCTAAAGAACAGAAGAAATAATCTATTATTGGAGATATCAAAATTTTCACTGAAACAGTGCTTTCACAGCTGCATGAAATTGAAACTCTTTATTATAATTTTCTTTTTGGAGACATTGATTTTGTTAAAAACAGTATTATTATCATAGAATAGATCTTGACAAATGTATAAATAAATTACTTTTCAAAATTCTATAAAATATAATTATTATTATCGAATAAACCTAAAAACAAAGATATTCTTTGGGTACCATACTTGTTTGGGTCCTAAAAAAGTTAGTCTTTACAAATTTAGGAATCATATTTGCATTCATATTAAAAAAACTTACTTCTATTTTTTAATTTGAATCAATTAAGTCTGACCTTCAACATCACAATAATGACTTACAGACACAAATTTAAATTTAAATTTATGAGATATAAATTTACATGTGCTAGGTTTAGACATAACATGGATGCTTTAACAAATATTGTTTTAGAACTTGAAGAGCAGAACACTCATCAATATAGCCTAATCCTCTTTTATCACCGTAAGATTTACCTACTCCAATTATTTTATCTAATTGTTGAGCACCTATATTAACTTTTTAATACACTCTTTAGCCTTACCAAGTTGTAGTATAGTAATTAATTTATTTTATTCTGAGTAATTTAATTAACTTATCTTTTTCACAACAATCATGCTAAAGAAATTTAACTTTATCAATGCATTTTTCTCATTACAATCAAATACATGTTTTTCATAATGTATATCAAATTTTACAATATTATGATCATTCTCTCTCGTTAAGAAATTTTATTTAATAAAGACTTATTTTCAATTATTGAACCCTTAGCAAACATACTTTGAATCTAATATTTCTAAATCGAGTTGCATTTCTTCAAAAACTTTAAATAATTCATCATAAGAAGGAGATTTAAAAATTACCTCGTCTTCTTCATCCTCTTTGTCACTCTGAGCCATGAGTTCATCCTCTTTGTCACTATGAGCCATGAAGCAAAAATTTGCTACTTTTTCATCACTTATAGATTGATTATCACTCCTGTTCATCCAATGCCTTCTCTAATTTAAGCTCCTCAATATTATTAACATTTTTTATTGAAATGGAAGGATCTTTACTAACATTCAACTAATCAATTAATTGCAAATAAATTTTCTTTCTAGTTTTACATAGGTATAATTTGTTCCATAAAAAATAAGGAGATCTAAAGATTGATTGTCATTCACATCAATCGTTTTTAGCACTATAGTTTTGTCATAAGCTCTAAAAATAAAGTTTATATAAAAAATCTATGAGAGCAACCTGATACCAATTGTTGGATCAATATGGCAACCTTAAAGGGGTGAATAGGGTTTCAACAATAAAATAATTTAAACGTGATTAATTTTTTTTTAATTATCAAAAACTTTTAAATAAATAGAATATGATAATTAAATCAATAAACTAGTTCAAGAAATAACAATCAACAAATATAAAAAAAAAAAAAAAAAAAAAAAAAAAAAAAAAAAAAAAAAAAAAAAAAAAAAAAAAAAAAACTTATAACATGCAATTAATTTTAATAACATTTTCGAAATTAAATAGGAAAGGGTTAGAAAATATAACAACGTAGTTGTATAGTGGTTCAGTCAAACTCGACTTACTCCAATCCCCAAGCGCCTCTTGGGAATTTCAATAAACCTTTCTCAACTCTTTCCTCGTATCAGAGCCCAACCGCTACACAACTCTTTTTACAAGTTCAAGAGCAAACTCAATCTTTTTCATGACTGAGGATCAAATCAGTACACAACTCTTTTTACGAGTTCAAGAGCAAACTCAATCATTTTCACGACTCAAGATCAAACCAGTACAATTGTTTGAATTTCGTAGAAACACACCACAACTCTCTAAAATAGTAGATTTACAATTTGATCACTCGCAACTATTTCCTCACAATACAATAAACATCTCTCTCAAAATAAGATAAAAAGAAATAAACTTAACAATGGAGGCTTTAGAAAAATTTAGATCGGAGAAACTATGGAAGTTGTGTGTCGTGTTCTTGAAAATATAAAAAAGAGATGTTTAAATAGTGAACCTGTTGTAAAAATAGGAATCTACTAAGAAGTGAACTGAAACATCGACTAAAAAATATATTTTTTTTTTAAATGTAAGGTGAAAAATTGTGGACCATATGCTTTATTTATATAAATATATATATATATATATATATATAAAAGTAATAATATAATAAAAAAATATTAACGAAAATAATGTGAGTAATAGTTTATTTTTATAATTCAAAATAATTTTATTTCAATTTTGAAGTAATTGAAAACTGCCCCATTTGTTACTGTACTAAACTTATTAAGTGTCATACTTCGATTAGTCAATGATGTTAATTTTATCATCATATCATCACGTCGAGTATCTTGTTTCGATTGAAACTTCTTCGTTTTAGCTCTGATTTGAGTGAACCAAAAAAGACGTTGAAATCGTTATTTCCAACTTTACACGGTGGACCATTCAAAATACTGATAATTATTAATAATTGAATCGAGACAAAAAAATAGATTAATTAATTTGAGATTAAGGCCAAAAAACAATAGATATATGATGAGTGTCGAAATCGAGGCAAAAAATAGATGAATGTGAGTCGAAATAAGCAAAAATATCAAGCTCACGAGTTCCCAAGCAAACAGCTCATGTGCCGAGTACAAACCACATTAGGAGGGGAAATTGTGCTCGTTGTGTGACATGTGGTGCATTTTAATCCGTCACTTGGAGCCCTAAAAAGTGTGTTTGAGTTCAAAGGCGTGTCTACTATCTTGTCCAATGTCACAATCACACTCTTGTTGTAGAGGGATAGAGATTGTGTGGTACTTATTCTAACCAAGCGAACAAGTCATTCGTACGGAAGTTGAACTTTGCAGATAACGTTGACGTATGACTGAGTCTCGGGTCACGTTTGAAAGAAATGTTTTAGAAAACGTGAGCGAAAAAATGTGCTGAAAATAATTTGAAAGAAATCGATATTATAAGCTAAAATCGAACAAGCAACAACAACTTTGATACATATAATTCAAGTGAAAGAAATTATAACTAGTCACATCTCCTATAGTATATTTTGGGACATTTTAGCGTTGGTGAGTGTAGACATGATTTCGGTGATTGGTCATATACCTCTGTATTGACACAACAATAATAGTAAAAGTTTATCTAACATGAAAGTATGTAAAATGAGTTTGAAACCGTCCTGAGGTAAAAAAGTACTCTTGAAAGCTAGCTACATCATGAGTTTTAGAATAGCTTTGAAAATTTTGTCGGTTGAAAGCTGCAGCCACACAAAGGGAAGAGTTTGTTGTCCATGTTTCTGTCCTCAATTATTGTACAAAATCAAACCTTTCTACACATAATTTAAAATGGAGAACCAAATAATTTGTACACTAAATTAGGAATTCTCTTTGGGGAAGACAAATCCATGGCTGCAACAATTTCGAACGATGAAGTACAACAAAAGAATGAATGCGAAGAAGAAGCAGAAACCAAGAAGACAGTTCTAATAACTGGGGTGACCAGAGGAATAGGACGAGCCTTGGCATTGGAGTTGGCAAAACATGGCCATCTAATTATTGGTTGCGGCCGCGACAAAACCAATTTGGATTCACTTCAGCTGCAACTCTCTAATGCTTCCCCACAAAACCATTTGCTCTTCATCGCTGATGTGGTTCGTAATGCTTTTTCCTTTACTCTGTCTTAGTGTTTATCTGTTTAATTTCCTTTTAATTTTGCAGAAGTCAGATGACAGCATCCGACAAATGGCACACACGGTCCGGGACAAACTTGGTTCTCTTGACATCATTGGTATGTTTGTGCTTCAGTGTTGTTTTTTTTTTTTTTTTTTTTTTCATTTCGAATAAAATTACGTAAACACGAAGTTTATGATATGAATAAAGAGGCATGAATCATACAATATAATTCGACCAAAATTGAAAAAAATGTTGTTGAAATTATCAAAGAAAATATTTCATACCACATCCAATAAGAACCAAGTTTCATTGTTATGAATTCTGGGTGGATCATAATTTAGAATTATAACGTTTCTTTAATATATTTTAAGGCTTATTTACATAATCGTTATTTATAATTATAAAGTATATAGTAGAGTGGCTAATTATGATCATAAAATATAGTTACAACTCTTAGAATGTCTCAGGTAAGGTTAAAATTTTTTATTTTGAAGCTATATAAAATCATGTATGTTATATTTGTAAAAGAGACTTGGAAAATGTAGTAAAAGAACATTTGTACTGGCTAAGTTTCTTTGCAATTCTAAGTAGTTTAGGTTGCATGTAGAATCATTCAAGCTCGACATATCAATCTTGTCTGTGTAGTGATTCGAATCTCAAACAAGTGTTCTTGTCTTAAGATATTTGATCAACGAGAATTAGTCAAGCTAGGCATGATCAATCTTGTTTGTGGAGTGATTCGAATCTCAAATAAGTGTTTTGCCTTATATATTCGATCAACAGGGTAATCCAAATCTTACTCCCCTTATACTTGTTAGACACACCCAAACAAGAAAGAGACCACACTTGGAAAAAATAAGTAAAACTAACTTCAATATTTCTTCAACTTGGTGTACTGTACATATGTAGAAGAAAAAAAAACTAAATAACTAAAGCTAATAACCTACACTCTAATACAAAGATTAAATAAACTAACAAATCATCCCCTTAAATCTTGTATTTCGATCTTCACATTCTTACATTCTTCAAACCAATTCTGTCTCGAGGCTCCACAATTTTTTGTCGTCCTAATGACTTCGTAAGTATATCAGCCAATTGATCCTCAGTTTTTACATGATCCACTTCAATCTCTCCTTTTTGCATACATTCACGAATGAAATGGAACCTCATGTCTATATGTTTGCTGCTATCATGATGAACTGGATTTTTCGCTAATGCTATAGCAGACTTGTTATCGATATTTAAACGAACTGGATTTACTTCCTTCCCATGCAATTCCTTCAGTAAACATCCTAACCATATTCCTTGACAAGCAGTTGACGTCGCTGCAATATACTCCGCTTCACAGGACGAAAGTGCCACCATTTTTTGTTTCTTTGAAGTCCATGTAATTGGATTGCCATATAAGAAAAACAATGTCCCAGTAGTGCTCTTTCGATCATCTATATCTCCAGCAAGATCACTATCACTATATCCGATTAAGCAATTTTCTACTTGCTTTGTCTTCACATAATGACATCCAATATCAATAGTTTCTTTCAGTACCTAAGTATCTGCTTCACAGCTGCCATATGAACCATAGCCGAAGCTTCCATATAACGACTCATAACTCCAACGGAATATGATAAGTCAGGTCGTGTGTTCACTAAATAACGAAGACTTTCGATAATGCTCTTATAAAGAGTGGAATCAACAGATGTGCAATTACTCACTTTGCTTAATTTTGTTTTCGGCTCCATAGGAACATGACAAGGATTACAATCCATCATTCCAAGTTTTGCCAAAAATTTTGCCACATAACTCGACTGAGATAACCTGATTCCATCAGCATCTTGTTTAACTTCTATTCCCAAATAATAAGATAGCAATCCTAAGTCACTCATTTCAAACAACTTCTTCATTTTGTTGCTTGAAGGTTAAAATATCATCCTTGCTTGACCCGACAATAATTAACTCATCAACATAAACTCCAACTATCTGAATTTTATTTGCCTTCCAACGTGTATACACAACATGCTCTAAAGGACACTTTTGAAATCCAAGAGACTTTAAGCAATTATCCAATTTTGCATTCTAGGCACGAGGTGCTTGACGTAAGCCATACAATGCTTTCCTGAGTCGTAAAACATTCCCTTCTCGACCTTCCACAGCAAATCCTTCTGGTAATTCTACAAAACCTCTTCCTTCAACTCACCATTAAGAAATGCTGACTTGACATCCATATGATGAATCTCCCAACTCTCCTGCGCTGCTATAACAATCAAGACTCGCACGGTTTCAAGTCTTGCAACAGGTGCAAATACCTCATCAAAATCCACTCCATATTTCTGGACAAAACCCTTTGTGACTAAATGGACTTTATATCTCACGATCTCTCCATCCGGATTTCTCTTCAACTTATATACCCATTTCAACCTGATTGCTCGATGTCCATTTGGTAGTTTCGCGAACTCCCACGTGCCATTTTTTTTAATAACAGACAATTCTTCTAGCATTGCTTGCTGCCATTTCTCATTATCTATTGCTTCCATATATGAATTTGGCTCCTCTAGTGAAAGAAAACACATCCCAGCTTCTTCATCCAACTCAATAGAATCAGAGTAAATTTCTCTTAACTGTCGAAATTTTCTTGGACTTGATGAGATGTATGAATCGTCCCTTGGTGATGAATTGTCTCTTGGTGATAAATAATTTGCTGGGGATGAATCGTCTCCCAATAGAGTCCCTGATGATTCTCCCCGCTCTTCTAAAAAGTCCTCGTCATTCACATAGACCTGTTGATCATAATGAACAGCAAATTTACCACCTTCCTTCTTATTTTCTTCCAATTGTTGCACATCCCATTTATATTCTTCTTCTTCAAGAAATTTGACGTCTTGGCTGATAAGAAGTCTTTTCGCTTTAGGATCATACAAACGATAAGCTTTTGAACTTGCTTCATATCCCACGAAAATCATTGGCACACTTCGGTCTTGTAATTTGGTTAAATTTGGTGTTGTATTTCTTGCATACGCCACGCTTCCGAACACTCTAAAATGCTCTACATTAGGCTTTCATCCTCTCCACTTCTCATAAGGAGTTGCTTCAATTACACTCTTCGTTCGGGATCTATTAAGGATGTAGACAGTTGTCTTCACTGCTTCTGCCCAGAAATACATCGGCAAGTTTTTGCACTTCAACATGCTTCGCACCATTGCAATAACAGTTTGGTTTCGTCGTTCAACCACACCATTTTGTTGCGGAGAATAGGGTGCTATTAGATATCTTTTAATCCCACTACTCTCACAATATTCTTTGAACTCAATACTTGTAAATTCTCCACCTCTATTAGTTCTAAGCGCTTGCAATTTCTTTCGAGATTCAGTTTCAATTTTACTCTTTAAACGTTTGAATCCCAAGAATGCATCAGATTTATTTTTAAGCAATTAAATCCACATATATCTACTGAAATCATCTACCAACAACAAAAAAAATTTATTACCTCCATGAGTTGTTGGAGTAATTGGAACACACAAATCGCCATGCACCAATTGTAGAACACTAATGGCTCGAAAATTCGCTTGTTGTGGGAATGGTGTTCTTCGTTGTTTAGTGATTACACAACTATCACAAACTTGTTTGATCCTTTCAACACGCGGAATTCCTTTCACCATTTGTTTCGTAGACAGGTTTCTTAAAGCCTCAAAATTCAAATGCCCATATCTAGCATGCCACAACCAAGAATCTTTAGACAACTTACCAAGTAGACAGGTTGGTTTCGTTGTTTTTAGGCTAATTGTATATAGCCTATTTCTTGACCGCCTCACTTTTGCCAAGAACTCCCTTGCCTTTGTGAAAATAGCAAGTAAACCATGTTCGATCTCAACTTTACAGCCCTGTTCATCCAATTGTCCTAAACTTATAATGTTACTTTTAAGTTTAGGAATGAAATATACATCGGAGAGGATACAGTGTTCTCCATTTTCACATTGCAGCATCACATCTCCACGTCTTTCTATCTCTATAAGTGATCCATCTCCGAACTTCACTGTGCTGGTTACTGACTTGTTCAATTCCGAGAACCAACTTCGACACCCAGTCATATGATTGCTGGCTCCCATATCTAGGAACCAAGTGTTGCTTTTCTTCTCAAATTCTTCCGGGACAACCTTCTCTTCATAAAGAGCCATCTCCGTCAACTCTGGTGAACCGAGAGTTCGGACTTTACAAACTTGTGTTGTAAGTAAGGCTGGCTCATTCTCATCACTTTGCGTCTCAGTTAAGTGCGCATGATTCTCCCCTTTCTTCGATCTACAGTGGGATGCATAATGATGCTCCCTTTTCTTCGATCTACAGTCGGATGCATAATGACCAATTTTTTGACAATTATAACACTTCACCTTCCGACATTCTGAGGCATAGTGGCCTAGGTCTGAACAATTGTAGCATCTTACCTTGCTCTTGTCAGCCTTCTTCTCTTGATGAAACGAGTCGTTTCCACGTCCATGACCTCTCCCTCTCCAGTGACCACTGTGACCTCGCCCTCGGCTATGGCCTCCATTGTCGCTACATTTTTTCTCTTTCCATTCTCCTTGAGTCAATAAGACATGCTCAACATTCTCTTTGTTGCCACCGATCCGTTCCTCGTATGCTTTAAGACGACCGATGATTTCCTCCATGGTCATCACCTTTAAATCGACAAATTGCTCTATTGCCGATGCGATGTGAAGAAACTTAGGAGGTACTGAGCGGAGAAAATTTTTCACCAAGTATGCCTCTTTAAACATGTCTCCAAAAGTATGTATTTTATTAACAACTTCTGTCAACATTGCTGCATAACTATCAATAGTCTCAGACTCCTTCATATTCATAATTTCAAACTCAATCTTCAGAGTTTGGAGCTTTGCCTCCTTTACACGTTCAACACCGACATGAATAGTTTTTAACGTCTGTCATGCTTCTTTTGTTGTCTCTTTCTCTGCTAGCAAAAACATCTCCTCAGGGATTGCTTGATAGATAGCTGCTAAGGCTATTTGATCCTTCCTTTCATCAAGACTATCCAGAGACTCAGTTGATTCGATTGTGTCCCACACCCCTTGAGCACGCAAATACACCTTCATCTTCATAGCCCATGCTGAGTAGTTGGTTCTCGATAACGTCGGGTATTGGAGTGATACCAGACCTTCCTTTGTTGCAGACTTTGACGACTCTCCTCTCTCTCCAGTGTTGTTATTGTTTCTTGGCATGATCTTTGGCATGTAACCACGCTCTGATACCAAATGTTAGACACACCCAAACAAGAAAGAGACAACACTTAGAAAAAATAAGCAAAATCAACTTCATTATTTCTTCAACTTGCTGCACTATACATATGTATGAAGAAAAAAAAACTAAATAACTGCTAATAACCTACACTAACTTCCAGCAACAACTAACTGCTAATAACCTACACTAACCAGCGACAACTAACTTCCTTGCTATTATCACAAAATACTAAAACTCTAATACTAAGATTAAATAAACTAACAATACTGATTTCTTATTATTTTTTGCAGTGAATAATGCAGGTGTGAATACTGCGAATTTGAAGTTTTGGGAGGTTCCTGGCGAAATGTTTGATAATGTAATCGACATAAACATAAAAGGGGCCGCAAATGTGTTGCGTCACTTCATTCCTCTTATGCTTCCTAGGAATCAAGGAATTATTGTGAACATATCTTCTCTGTATGGAAGATCTGTGGGTCCCCTGGTACGCATATGGTGCAATCTATATTAACATAGCTCTCATCAACAACAGAAATGATTCGTTTTTAACTATCCAGGCTTCGGCTTATTGCGCTTCCAAATGGGCGATTGAAGGTTTGAGTAAATCAATTGCAAAGAAGCTACCCAATGGAATCACAATTGTAGCGTTAGATCCTGGCATTATCAATACGGACATGGCTGTTGCCTATTTTGGCGATTTGGCTTCCCAATACCAATCTCCTCAAGAATGGTATGCTTAACAATTCCTATACATTTTTAATCAACATTTAGTTAAAAGTAAATGAATATTATAACATTTAGTCTACTACTGGTAAGTTCTTAATTGTACCGTTAACTTAGAGTAGTAAAACTTCTTGAGTGTTGGACTGAGTACATAAAACTTATCTTGGATCATATTACATGATCAACCGGGAAACTTCCCTTAAAATGGTCTATAAATCACTCCCCCATGAAAGATCGACATGGTCACATAGTTGGTGCAAACTTGATCATGACATCTAGCTAGGCATCTCATCTAGGTGAGGGAAACCTGAGTCCCATCATGACATCCTATTCATGAGACATAGTGAAAGGCGTTCCCCTCAATTCGTTTGTAAACCTTTGTAAAACTTAAAGATGGAGTGTCAAGAAAGAGTTAGGGACTGATATCTTTCCTTTTTGAACTATAGCCTAAGTTATTACCTTCCAAAGTTAGTTGGAAACTCGATTCTTCACTAGAGTCGACTAAGAGGAACTTATTATTGAGTAGGACTATCGGGACATTTCCGGCCACATTTTCTTCACTAGAACCTTATACTCCCTTCAAACTAAAGGAATTAATTTGGGAGGACGACTTTGTGTGAATGTGGCTGATTTTGAATTTCAACCTTTGGTATGTAACTCAACCTAGAATGCTAAGTTTGATCCTCTTGACGACTTGATCTCGGACGAATTAGCCCTAGATTCTTTCATCATATATGCTCTTCTTAGTTTCCTAAGGCTAACGAAAACCTCGATTTTGAATAAAATGGGTTGGAAATACGAGTTTGAGTTTTACCTCCAAAGCTTACCTGATATTAAAATTCTCTAATTGGACACACCCTTAGTGTTATTGTCTTTCAAGGTTTTCTAGGAAAATGTATCTTGGAGATGTAGAAATCGGTTGGGATAAATCTTACATGACGAATTCACGTGTAGCCTCTGATTAAATTTTTCAAGCTCCTTGGGACTCCTTGAACGATGGACCAAATTAGAGAAATAGGTTTGAGGCATTTTCGACACTTCCTTCCTTACCAAACTTGTGGGTAATCTTATTTAAAAGGTACAGAAATAAGTTTGAAGTAAATAGTGGACTATAGCTCTCGAATTTGGAGAGAACCCAAGAACTTGATACCCAAAAACAAACTCTTATAACTCGCGATTGAAGGCTCGACATTGCTTGTTACTTGCTCCAAATGAATGCCCATGACTCATAATTTATAGAGGAATGATCCACCATCTTTAAAATTTCTAGAACCACCATGATTTTTCTGTCGATCTTTCTAGACTTTTTCGTTGAAAAAACTTACTCTAATCAGAGATTTACCTATTTTAGTTTTGAATTCCTCCGTTGGATGTGATAAGTTATAGATGTTCTAAATCATATCTAATTTTGTTTGGAAATTCAACGGCTGATACCATGAAGGATCTGATTCTGATTGTGTCAGTGAAAATTTCTTAATATCCTGTTTCTTTAAAACCCATGAAACTGCACCCAAACTAATGTCGATCACACAATAGTATTTTTGTAATCATCAATGTTTCATCCCCAATCATTATCATTTTAACCATGTTCTTATTGTGAATATAATGATCAATAGCTCACAATAACTCTTTTCCAGCTTCTAAATGACTTATCTTTGGTGATGTCATAAAATAGCTCAGCAAACTTTCTGAGAACATAAGATCGAGTCTAGTCGTAGTTTAATATCTCAAACTCTCAACGACCATTTCTGTAGGAGTATTTTTTTGAAACCACGACCATCCACAGTGGTATGATATTGTCCACTTAAGCCTAAGCTCTCATGGCTTTACTTTTAGTTTCTTCCAAAAAGCCTCGTACTAATGGAGATGTATTCTTTAATTATAAACTCATTATCATCTCCTTAATTACTCAACCTACTCAACCTACTAACCTGTGACTCTCTCACAATAACCTTGAACAGTGACATGAAAAGTATGCTCTTATTAGTTATCTCAAATTCTTTCTTCATGCTCTCTTTGAACTCTTCAAGCATAATGGCCTAAGTTCCCATAAAAATTAAATCATCGAAAAATTATTAAGAAATTAACTGAAACCACATTCCAGTGAGAGCAATTTTAAGGATAGAATGATTAAGAAAAGCATAAAAAGAATTCAAAATTACTACATTTACTAACAAGATGCATATTCTTTTAAAGTGGCTCAATCATAGAAACTTCATAGTTAACTGTGCTTTGCTTTGAGCAATTCGAGTCAGGTGACCGTCTTGAAATTTTATAAGATGCATGTGAGTGAGGACAAAACATACTAGAAGGACTTGTGTTGGTTTGTGAGGATAGTTTTTACTCTTAGAAGCGAAAAGTAATTAATATGACCATGTTGCAAGGGATGTAGGAGAATGTCGTTGCCATCATGTGCTAAATCTAAATTCCAAAGTCTGATTCGAATCTTAGACATGGGTCATTACAAATAGTATCAGAGCGGTACCTCTTCTAATAAGATGTGGTTCGGGATGCACCTAGGTAAAAAAGTGGTACATCAATGAATTGAGACCACATCCGATTCTGAGGATACTAAGAAATGCTTAAAAAAAAAAGGAATATTCCTACATATACCAACAAGGTGCACCTTCCTTTTCAATGACTCAATCATAAGAATTCCATAATTAAGCATGTTTTGCTTGGATTAATTCTTTGTTGAGTAACCTCTTAGAATTTTAATAACTTAGCTTAAAAGTTCCTAAAATTCCTCTAAGTTAAATAATTTCTTTTGCTAAGTTAAGCTTATTAACTTATATTCTCCTCCGTAAATTTAACCCTATTCTCCTCTGTAAGCTTGACTTTACTCGAGATTCTTCACTTCAAGAAACTTTTGTTGCATGTCTGCAAATTTAACCCTATTCTCCTCCATACGCTTGACTTTGCTCGAGATTCTTCACTTCAAGCAACTTTTACATGTCTGCAAATTTAACCCTTTCTAGGGGTCTGGGTGAGAATGTCCATCTTTGCTTGGTCCCTAGTCAACTTTGTCTTCCAATTTCTTCCACTCCTCTCTTATGTGGAGAAAATTTATCATCTGACTTACATGTAGAAACTTTTGGTTGAGATGGCAAGTTTAAAGTCTCATTTTTCTTACACCCTAGTGGTCTTCATCTAGGCCTCTTTGGTTGAGATGGTAAGTCCGATGAAACACAACAACTAGTAGGTTGCACTTCGCTAATTGAGGGAACCTTTGGTTTCTTCTTGGATCTGTACTTCAGTTCCTTTTTCTCCCTACCAATTGGTTTCTTCTTCACTTTCTAATGGCCAACGCCAATGGATACTTTTGGAAGATGTTGATGGTCTTTCAATAGTATCTTATACATGTAGTTTCGCGACCATTTTACCTTCATCAACAAGGCTCCGGCTTTGTTGTATATCTTGAGTAATGGGCCGACTATCTCCATTTTGCTACCTTTTTCTGCATTTGACCAAGGCTAATAATATTGTTCTTCAACCTTGGGATGTAATACACCTTGGTCAATAGATGTTGATCGTCATTCTTACCCTAGAACAAGATATATCCTTTGCCTTGGATCGGTACAATTGATCCATCACAAAACTTCATATTTTCAATTAATTTCTCATCAAGGTTCTTGAACTTTGCTCAATCACCAGTTATGTGGTTGTTAGCTCTGTTGTTTAGGTACCACATGCTCGTCTCTACTTGGTCTTCTTCATCTATGAAGAGGTTTGTCAAAACCTTTTATTCATTGAGTATCAACAGATTGGTAATTTTCTCGGCCAACATCAATGCGGGCTCTTCATCATCCGTGAACATGAGGTTTGCCTCCTCATCGCACTCATTGTTGCGGCACTCTACCGCATAATGCCCGTATTTTTCACAAGAGTAACACTTGATCATACTCTTGTCCTTCTAAGGGATGACATTGTCATGGATTTATGAGGTATTTTCACGTTTACTGCCACATCCATGACCTATAATTTCCTTGGTATGGCTACCATGTCCTCTCATACCTGAAAAAGAAAAGACGGCTGCATTATTCTTTTTCGTCTGTGCGAGCCACTCCTCATGTGTGAGTAAGAGGTTTTTCTCCTCCTCATTGTCTTCGTAGCCATGAAGTCTCTCCTCATGGACCTTAGGACGACCAACAAACTTTTCAATCAACATGTTCTTGAGGTCGCTGAACTGCTCGATGGAGGCAACAATCTGCATGCATCTTAGGGAACAACTCGAAGGAACTTCTTAACGATGAAGATCTCATTCATGATATCGCCTAATGAATGGATGCCATTGATGATTGTCATCAATTTCATGACAAAGTCATCTATTGACTCACTGTCCTTCATGCAGATAACCTCGAGCTCACTATTCAAGGTCTGCACCTTTGCTTCCTTGACACATTCCACACCCAAATGCATTGTTTGCACTATCTCCCACGTTGTCTTTGTCGAGTCCTTCTTTGCCACCATGAGAAGAACGTCCTCTAGGACTGCTTGGTAGATGAAGGCAAGAGTCATCCTATCCTTCGCTTCTCAACATTGTCACCTGTGCCTGTAAGTTAACACGCATCTTTATCGACCATGTTTTGTAGTTACTCTATGTGAGTAACAAGTATTGGAGCGTTACACTCCCCTCTGTTTCACTCCTTATCGTTGTCACATCTCTTCTAGTGACTTTGTATGGTGTTGGCATTTGTTTCTGCATCCTAGCTCTGATACCAAAGGTTGGATATGACCCACAATCGAAATATATTGAAACAAAAAAGCAAAAAGAACTTGAAGGGGAGAGATCTTTTTGAACAAAGAAAACCTTATCACTTAGCTTTTCAATTCTGTGAAAATATCGTGCATATACTAAGTATTTATAGTGGAGAAGGCATAAAAGATTTCCTAAAACTTTCTAACAAATTCCTAAACTTTCTCCCCAAGATTAATCATTTCCCTAAACTTATTATGAACAATTATCCTAAAATTTCTCTAAATTAATAACTTACTCTAAGGGAAGCTTATAAAATAATAGACATGACTTATTTTCTTCTCCAACCTAGACATAGCTGCACAACATATATTTCTTCCTTCAAATACCCATTTAGAATTGACTTGACATCCATTTAGTACTTCTTAATTATTTTATACAACAATAGCTAGAAGAAAACAAATAGCTTACAAATGAGTCATAAGTAGGACACTTTCTTCATAATTCATAACATATTTTTTTCTTATACCCTTTGACGGGAGGTCTTACCTCATACTTCCCAACTTCATCCGTTTGCTCAAGTATTTTTATGTGCAAAATTAACTCCAAGAGCTTCTAAGTTCTTTGGTTGTTGTACTAACTGCTATATTTCATTTCTTTTTATTACATCAATCTCTTAATCTATTACAACTTTTCATTTTTCATTTTGAATGATCTCATCAAATTTATAGAATTTGCAATACAAATAAAGTAAAATCAACATGATCATCTTCTGTCATCTTTTTTAAAGCATCATAGATCTCTAGCATATTTCTCGATGACACAGGTGAGATAAAGTGTCAAAACTCAAATGTTCATGATGAAGTTTATTAGTAATGAAGTATCATTTACTAAATTTTGTGTCTGTGTTGGTAATCATATGCACCTTTTTTTATGAGAACTCCAACTTGGATCTAATCTTACACATTTTCTTTGAAGATTAAATCATGCCCTTTTGGTAGAATCTGCCCTACAATTAAAAGCTTGTGTTTGAGGTTGTAACATAACGAACTTCAGTGGCTCACTTCTCTGACTTTTTATCATGACAAGAGTATATTATTTTCCTTTCGATTTTAATCTTTTTGTTCACTAATTTTCACCTTATTATGAAGAGATTCATCCAAGAAAAGAGAAAAACATCCTTCTTTCCCATCATGTGGTTACAACAACTGCTATGTTTAAAGTGAGTGAGGAAAATAAGGTTGGATATGACCCAAGATCAAAATATTTAGAAACAAATAAAAGAATGAGGAAGAAAAACTTAAGGAGAGAGAACTTTTGGAAAACTTTAAGCATACATCTTAGTATTTATAATAGAGAACCAACAAATTTTCTAAACTTTCTAAGTTAAAACCACTATAATAGAGAATCCATCAACAAATTTCCTAAACTTTTTCTCTAAGTTAAAATAACTAACCATCTTCTAAATCCTGACTATTTTCTATATTTATTCAAGTTAATAACTATTTTTACCAAGTCAATTTTAATAACCTGGAATAAATCCCTAACTATTTTCTATATTTATTAAGTTAATAACTATTTTTAACAAGTCAGTCAATTTTAATGACTCACATTCTCTTCGCTTGACTTTGGTAGAGATTATGTTAAATATCAGATTAGGTATTTGTTTAGATTATCGTCACATTCTCTTCGCTTGACTTAGGTAGAGTCAGTCAATTTTAATGACTCACATTCTCTTCGCTTGACTTTGGTAGAGATTATGTTAAATATCAGATTAGGTATTTGTTTAGATTACCGTCACATTCTCTTCGCTTGACTTAGGTAGAGATTCTGTTAAATATCAAGTATTTATTTAGATGACGTATTTGTTTTAGATTACTGTCAGTTAGTATTTGATTAAATTTCCTTATAGTTGTTAGGATCGTATAACAACGCACACACTCGATCTAGATGAACACAAAAAATAAATTTCTTTATAGTTGTTAGGATCGCACAACAACTCACATTCGATCTAGATGAACACAAAGAAATAAGAGAGAAAATGCAAAGAGAACTCTGGATAAAAGATTTGTATTGATGAGCATGTACAAGAGACAAAGAATAGGAAGTAATCTCCAAAGTTATATGTGAGGGTATATATATGGTTCATCGGAGTATTTAGATTTAACCATCTACTATATATAGCTATTTACAGATTTAACCATCTACTATATATAGCTATTTACTATATATAGCCTTACTGGATATAGCTTCACGGGATATAACCTTCAAGCAAGATATAAATAAGAGAGCAGACTCCATAACCTAACAATTCTCCCACTTGTAGACTGATCCAGTCAACTAAGAATTTCATTCTCAAACCATCAACATATTTTGTCAACATGTTTGCTGGATTCTTTGCACTCTCTATCTTCTCCAAACACATATCACCTTCTTCTACTAACCTGCGAGTGAAATGATATCGCAGTGTTCATGTACGTTCATGTAGTGGTCACTAGGTTTCTGTTAGAGTGAGCGCACTCGAGCTCTCCTCTTCAAATATGACAACGGCAGCAAGCGTTGGTTCATCATGACTAAGATCCTTTCTCATTTTCACCCCTCTTGGTTGATGGGTGTTTGTCAGAATAATCTTCTAGTTGGACTCTATTACTATTAAGCATTTTCTAAGGCATGAGACTGATTTTGTGTTCTAATAGGAAGTCCATCAATAACACAATGTCAAAGTCATCCATCTTGACTATCACAAAGTTGGTTTGTCCCGACCATGTCCCCCACTTGATCTGAGTTTTCCTTGCAACTCCTAAGACAGGTAAAGCTGCCGAATTGATGACCTTCATTTTCCTTGTGTCTTGATGCCAAAAGATGTTCAAGCATTTTGTTTAGATTTTTGTCATAAAGTTCTGGGTAGCTCTAGGGTCGAAAATGATGTTCTAGTTCACTATGTGATTAACCCGAGCCTCTATATACATAAAACCGCGTTCCACCAGCTCCTCTATCTCTTCGACTCTCTTCTGGAGAGCGGACAAATACTTTAGTGCCCCCATGCACTTCAACATTCTCAACTAACGATGTTTCTATTTTTACTATCTCATACTCGGCTTCTGAGTTCACTGCGAGTTTTGCTTGGAAGGAGTATAATGCAACCTTTTGTGGGCATTTCAATTCTTGATGTGCCCCCTTTAACGCCCCTAATTTTCTTGTCCAAATCAGAGGCGTCACTACATGCATGACTTTAATAACATATGCAACAATTTAAATAAAAACATTTCAAATGAAAGTCATGGAGTGGTGAGTTTAGTTTAAAACAAGAAATATAAATAATATCATTAAAATAAAACTTTAATAAAATGTTTGAGTATATAAATGAAAAGCCGCTTATAAGACTACTAATTGAAAACAATGCATATTACTGTCCTAACTTAGCTTTCATAGCCACTCCAGCATCCACCTTCATCTATGCAGGACGCTTTACCTTTACCCGAAAAATAAGATAGCACATGGCTTGGGTATTTTAAGAAATACTCAATAACCTCATTGTTGGGGTTGGGTAATGAAAGCACACATGATAAAACATATCCTTTAAAACTGTAGTATGACCTTGAGCTCTTTCTAGTTCCGAGTAAGGTTGGATGTGTGATACTTCCCCACACATGGCCACACATGACCCACGTACGCGCACATGAAACCACCAAGCAGGCTCGTATACGTACCCTCTAGGTCTAGCTTGGTCGGGAAAAACACACTAACGCGTTGTCGGACACCGTAGAAAAGGAAAGACCCACATGATATCATGCAAAAATAAATATCGAAGGTATGCATTCGTACTTCAGAGCAAATATAGACTATCATAAATAGCAAGTAATAAGTAAATTATTGTTTTCATTAAGAGTTTAATACCTTGCCTACTCAATCAATTGGGAATTACAAGCCAAAAGGTAACATCAATAATGGGTGTTATTGATTTCACTAAATTAATAAAAACCATAATAAAATGTAAACTATATAACGAGAGTATGTTATAACACAAACTAATTGTTAAACACAAATGAAAATGATATTGGTGATATTGGATGGGAGGTAACTTTCAGCTACTTATTCTTATTAATCGCAATAGCAAGGTTATGTGCTAGCCTATTCTCTTCGTAGAGTACCTTTTTTCTTGTACCCTTTGACGATAGGCCTCATACTTATCTTTGTGTGCACTCATTTTACTCCAAGAGCTTTGTTGTACTAACTTCTGTATTTCATTTCTTTTTATTACATCAATCTCTTCATCTATTACAACTTTTCATTTTTATTTTGAATGATCTCATCAAGTTTATAGGATTTGCATCTACAAATGAAGTAAAATCAACACCATCCTCTTCTGTCATCTTTCTTAAAGCATCATAGATCTCTAGCATATTTCTTAATGACAGTCAAAACTCAAGTGTTCATAATGAAGTTTATTAGTAATGAAATATCATTTACTAATGTCTCAAACCTAAACGCTTCTCATAATACATTTTGACAGCACACATCTTGTTGGTAATCATATGTACCTTTGTTACGAGAACTCCAACTTGGATCTAATCTTATACATATTTTGTTTGAAGATTACATCATGCCCTTTTGGTAGAATCTGCTCAACATATATTTTTGAATTACTTCAACCGACTTTGTTTGGCTTGGTTACAAATTAGGAAAAAAACCCATTGTTAATACCCAAGAGACACCTCTAGAAGACAAATTAAACAATTACATATATAAGTATATATGTAATTGTTTAATTTGTAATTACATATACAATTACATAGACATTGATGTATGTAGAAATTATAAATTGTATCATTAATCTATCTTATTTCTAACATATTATTAATGCAAAATTAATTTCTTTGTTGTATTAGGGCTCTGAAAGCAACTTCCATGATTCTAAATATTACCACCGCTGATAATGGTGCAACTCTTATTGTTCCTGATCCGGGTGATCTGCCCAATCTTGATACAGAGAAAAGACCCGAAGTAAGTAATAATTGAATAACATGATACATTATCGGTCTCGCTTGATTTTCTTACTTTCTACTTTTCGTTTTCAAGTACTTTAAACTGTTGTAATTTTTTATTTTGACGATCTTAATGTCTCTCCATTAATCAAAAGTACTCTAAGTTTATAAAAAGAAATCAGACTTCTTGTATTATGAACAAAGATTTAGTGATCTCGTCAAGCTTGAGTAAAACTTGGGTTTGCACGGCATGAGTCTTGTACATGATGTTTTTAATTCATGTGTTTGCATCAGTCGAGTACATGATGTTTATGATTCATGTTTGAGCATAATACATGAGTGATAAGTTAAGGAACCACTACAAGGGGAGTAAGATTCGGATTACCTTGTTGATCAAATATCTTAAGGCAAGAACATTGTTTGAGATTCGAATCACTCCACAAGCAAGATCGATCATGTCTAGCTTGAATGATTCTTGTTGATCAAATATCTCAAACACTTGTTTGAGATTCGAATCACTCCACAAGCAAGATTGATCATGTCGAGCTTGAATGATTCTATATGCAACCTAAACTACATAGAATTGCAAAGAAACTTAGCTATTGGCTAAAGAAGAGCACAAATGCTTCTTTTACTACCTTTTCCAAGTCTCTTACAAATACAACATACATGGTTTCATATAGCCTCAAAATGAAACTACTAGGCATTCCAAAAATTGTAACATTCATACTTAATGGTCATAATTAATCATTATGTAATTGTAACCTAAAGTAAATAAAAAGTCCTAAAAACTCTAAATTGTAACCCACCCAAAATTTAGAACAATCAAACTTCACTCTTCTTCAATGTGGCATGCATTGAAACATGTTTTGATAATTTTGACAACTTTTTCTTCACATCGTCATTGAAGTATATTGTATGATTGATGTTTTTTGGTTCATATCATTCTCCACTTCTTCAAGAGGATTCGTCATCGAATCTATTTGTGAAACTTTGCTGCAAAAAATAAGTTATGGAAATACGATGGACCTCACAACACTCTCTCACGAGTATACACTGAAGGAATTTTGGGCCACTCTTTTTATACTCAGTTACACAAATGAACCTCTCATTCTCACCTCTCAAAATTTGAAATAGAGTAAAGATTGAATTTTGAATTCTGGGTCGATTAAAAACTAAAAAAATAAAAATAAATAAAAATCAAATTGAGAAAAAATGCAAAGGAAACATATATCCGATCTTGAGCCTGAAGCTCTGATACCAAATGATATATTAAGGAACCACTACAAGGGGAGTAAGATTCAAATTACCTTGTTGATCAAATATCTCAAGGCAAGAACATTGTTTGAGATTCGAATCACTCCACAAGAAAGATCGATCATGTCTAGCTTGAATGATTCTTGTTGATCAAATATCTCAAACACTTGTTTGAGATTCGAATCACTCCACAAGCAAGATTGATCATGTCGAGCTTGAATGATTCTATATGCAACCTAAACTACATAGAATTGCAAAGAAACTTAGTCATTGGCTAAAGAAGAGCACAAATGCTTCTTTTACTACCTTTTCCAAGTCTCTTACAAATACAACATACATGGTTTCATATAGCCTCAAAATGAAACTACTAGGCATTCCAAAAATGGTAACATTCATACTTAATGGTCATAATTAACCATTATGTAATTGTAACCTAAAGTAAATAAAAAGTCCTAAAAACTCTAAATTGTAACCCACCCAAAATTTAGAACGATCAAACTTCACTCTTCTCCAATGTGGCATGCATTGAAACATGTTTTGATAATTTTGACAATTTTTTCTTCACATCGTCATTGAAGTATATTGTATGATTGATGTTTTTTGGTTCATATCAATGAGATTATTTGTTTTTCGAGCAAAGTGTCACAATCGCACTTCGCGGACAATATCAGCATATGCTTGAGTCTCGAGTTACGTTTGAAAGAAATGTTTTAAAAATGTGAGCGAGAAAATACATTAAAAACAATTTTAAAGAAAGAAATTTTATAAGCTACAAGTAGGCAACAACAATGACTTTGATGATATATAACCCGAGTAGGAAGAATTGACAACTAATCACATTCCCCTATAGTACATTTTGGGGCATTTTTTCCCTGACGAGTGTTGACATGATTTTGGTGAGCGGTCATATACCCATTGACACAAGAGTAATAGTAAAGACCTATCTAATGTGAAAGCAAGTAAAAGAGGTTTGGAACGGGCATGCAGCAATGGACAATACGTCCTGGACAAGCATGACCAGGACGTTCGACATGTGGCAACATGAAATAGACCTTGGATAAGCATGACCATGACATCCTTTTCCACTCAATTGGTTGACGTCTGATGTCTTTTGACTAAGCAATATGTCGTGAGGAAATCGTCGGAGGAAAAACAACCCATTGTTTGAAGAAGGAAAAAAGACCGAAAGAACACAAGGGAGAGACAGACATATTTTAGATTATGCTCAAGACCCAATGATTTATTTTTCCTTTGATTGGCATATTTAAAAAACAATTCTATGTTAAAAATGGAAAGGAGTGAGCAACTCAATTAACGTTGGTCCACTAGATGTGACCATCCCACTAACTTTTTATGTGGCTATCCTTACACAGTGATTTATCTAATCTCTTTTAATTGACTCTTCGCGATCTCAGCGATGTAGGATGAGGCTGACTTTCAAGGCTCTCGATGCACTTCCAGCTGATCTCGATACTGAAGAGTTTCTTCTATCTGCTAGGAAGTGTTGAAAACTACTTCTCCGTTCATTGAGTTTACGTGTCTTCTCTGTCAGAGTCCTACTTTCTTCGCTGAAACATTCTTCTCCTTTGCGTGATATCGTGCGGCCTCCTTGTGCTTGATGTCTTCTTGGTTGTGACACGAACAATAGGGTTAGTCTGCATCCATAGAAGCAACTGGATCTTATATGATGCCTTCTCGGCCTTGTGGATAACTTCGACTGGTCCGTAGTATTTTCACACGAGTTTTTAGTTCTTGTTACTTTGAACTCGAAGCTGATCTAACTTCAACTTGATTAGAACTCTCTCCTCTTGAAATTGTCGTGGCAGACGCTTCCGGTCGGCTCTTCTCTTCATCTGAATGGATGGGATTCCTACGTGAACAAGTGTTGTTTTAGAGGTTTGTCTCTGTCTACCTCCTTCGGCGGAAGTGTTGGCTTGGTGTCTCTGCCTAACCTTTGGGTGATTAAGAACAACGGTCTTTGTAGGTTTAATGAACCTGGCTGTTAGCAAGTCATTTATCCGTTTGTAAAATTCAGCTAGCTCAGGTTGAGTCGTATGACATTCATTTGTGGCGGGCGGTCTCGCCCTCGACATAACATCAATCTCATGATCTATCTGCCCATGTATTTTTTGGACTTGGGTTGCGGTGTTCATGTAGTGGCTGCTAGGTTTCTGTTCGAGTGAGCACAATCAAGCTCTTCTCTTCAAATATGGCAATGGCAGCAAGCGTAGGTTCGTCATGACTAAGATCCTTTCTCATTTTCATCCCTCTTGGTTGACGGGTGTTTGTCTGAATAATTGTCAGGTTGGACTCCATTACTATTAAGCATTTTTCTAGGGCATGAGAATGATTTTGTGTTCTAATAGGAAGTCCATCTATAACACAATGTCGAAGTCATTTATCTTGACTATCACAAAGTTGGTTTTTCTGATCATGTCTCCCACTTGATTCGAGTTTTCTTCGTAACTCCTAGGATAGGTAAAACTACCGAATTGACAACCTTCATCTTCCTTGTGTCTTGATGCCAAAAGATGTTCAAGCATTTTGTTTCGGTTTCTGTCATGAAGTTGTGGGTGGCTCTAGAGTCGAAAATGATGTTTCAGAACGCTTTGTGATTAACCCGAGCCTCGACATACACAAGACCACGTTCCACTGGCTCCTCTATCTCTTCCACTCTCTTTTGGCGAGCAGACAAATACTTTAGTGCCTCCACGTGGGGGTGTGCAACATTCTAAACTAACGCCCCTAATGTTCTTATCCAAATTAGAGGCGTCACTACATGCATGACTTTAATAACATATGCAAGAATTTAAATAAAAACATTTCAAACGAAGTAATGAACTTATACGTTTAGTTTAAAACAAGAAATACTCAGTAAGTAACCTTATTGTTGGGGTTGGGTAATGAAAACACACATGATAGGACCTATCCTTTAAAGTCATAGCATGACCTTGAGCTCTTTCCAATTTCGGGCAAGGTTGGATGTGTGGTACTTCCCCACACATGGCCAACGTACGCGCACATGCACCCACCAGATAGGCTCTATCCGTACCCCTTGGGCCTGGCTTGGTAGGGAACAACGCACTAACACGTCGTCAGACGCCATAGAAAGGGAAAGACCAACATGATATCACAGTGAACATAAATATCGAAAGTACGCATACTTAAGTGCAAATATACACTATCACAAATAGCAAGTAATAAGTAAATTATTGTTTTCATCCAGAGTTTACTACATTCTCTATTCAATCAATCAAGAACTCCAAACCAAGTACCGGTAACATCATTAATGGGTGTCATTGATTTCACTAAACTAATAAAAACCGTAATAAAATGTAAACTATAATAACGAGAGTATGTTATAACACAAACTAATTGTTAAACACAAATGAATGATATTGGTGATATTGGATCGGATGTAACTTTCCGCTACTTATTCTTATGTGCTAACCTATTCTCTTCACCTGAGGATATTGAGTCTCGCCTTACACCTTAAATGCACACTCGTAAGCTTCTGTGAGTCAAGACTTTTTCGTGTCTATTTCTCAACTAATCGTTGTAGTATTAGTTTCTATATCTCTATTTACTTTTAAGACTTATCCGCCTCAACGCAATAAGCATCCATAATTTTAAGAAGTGCAACTACCATTAATAACCCAAGTATGGGGAGCTCCATCCAATCAAACCTAATAATTGTATGTCTATTTTAAGAAAAATATATTTAGTGATTTTAGAAATAGGAAATAGATTTATACATTTTAGGAATAAATGATTATGATAAAATATTTTGGAAATGGATTTATGTATTTTAAGAATAAATAATTATGATAAGATATTTTATGAATAAATTATCTAGTCT